TTCATTTTTAAATTTGATGTTTTTTTAAATGTATTTTTGTACATGTGATCATTATGCATCAGCTAATTAGGTTTCTTGTCTAAGCTGCTTCCCTGATTTTCCTAACTCCTGATGCAATTGTCCACATATCTCTCATCTTATCCTCTAATTTCCTATTAGAAAGGTAAAGGTAAGAACATGCATGTTCTTCTGTGCTCAAAATTTGTGTAACTTATCATCCTTTTTAAGTGTCTCCTTCCCTTTTGTTCTTGAGACCATTTGCAGGTATCTTTTTAAGCATGTTTTCTTCTATTTAAAATTTTTTTTTATAAATTTTTCTGCCTTGTTATGTTATGAACACTGTAGGAGTCCCTTAGACTTATTCAGGATTAGAACAGGGCCTTATACAAATAGGCTCAACAGGTGTGACATGCAAATGAACTTGAATGAAACCTTTGCTTGGTCCAGTGTCTCAGCTCGTTAATGTCTTCTTTTCAGCCACAAAGTTTTTAACTCTGTGTTCTACATTCATCGCCTTTACCATTTTTATCAGTGCTTCCTTTACTTTTCCCTTTCCATCTGAGTTTCTTACCTCTTCACTGAAACCATCCTGTTGAAGGTTAGCAGAGTTAGTAGCATTCTCTCTGAATTTGACTCCCTGGACCTTGTCATCACTGACCATTTTATTAACACATTTGTTCTTCCATTAAAGCTGTTTTTATAAACTACTTGCCATATCTAGTAAAATGCAGTGGTCACTCCTTACCTTCAGTTTTGCTTTCCACAGTTTCTCTTATCTGCAGCCAACTTCGGTCCAACCGTGGAATGTTGCAGAAATAGGCAAGTCACATGGTTTGAATTGTGCATATTCTGACGAGTGTGATGAAATCTCACACTGTCCTGTTCATCCTGCCTGGGTCTTGAATAAGTTCTTTGTCCAGCATATCCATGATGTGCATAAAGTACAATAAGATATTTTGAGAGAGAGACCACCATCACATAACTTTTATTACGCTATATTGTTATAATTATATTTTACTATTAATGTTAATTCCTTAACTGTGTTTGATTTATAAATCAAACATAAGCTTTATCATTGGTATGTATGTGTAGGAAAAGACATACGTAGGGTTTGGTACTACCTGCGGTTTCAGGTATCCACAGGGGGTCTTGAAATGTATCCCCCTTGAATAAGGGAGACCACTGTACAAGACAGACACTACCTCTGTTCTTAGCAATATAAAATTTACCCTGCTTACTTTACTCTTCCCGATGGGCTGAATTACAGAGGCTGCACCATAAACACATATACCAAGAATAAAATCCCATAAATACTTGGATGTTGATTTGTCCATCAGGAGGCTGAGCAGGTTAAGTCTGACATCCCTTTTATGCCTCTCTGAGGTTGTCCTTTATCCTGGCGAGCCAGTGGGGGATCAGTCATGGCTAACCAAACCACAAGGTGTGGAGCTTCTCCGTGAGTCACTTCGTTTTTGTAGACCACTTATCCTATCTATAAAGTTCAACGATCTCAAAATTTGTACTGTTCCCTTGCTGAAGAACTTACCTAAGTTTTTACTCTCCTGCCTCAGTTGAAAGGTTTTCCTGAATCTGTTATCATTTTATCTTCCCACTGCTTTCCATTTTAATCTTCTCCAGTTAGATTCCTTTCTATTGCTCACATATGTGGCATCGCTCTACACCCTCTGCTCTTCACGCTACCCTTCAGGCTCAGGATACTTCTTCTCTTCTACGCTTACACATATTTTTCCCATCTTTCAAAGCCTAGGTCATGTTCCGTTTGTTCCATGATCTCTTTTCCAAATAATTGATCCCACGTGTACTTATCTTTACTACCAAGCAATTAGAACTTCATTATTCCTATTTCATGCATATTAGACTGTAAGCTTTGTGACAATAGAGAATGCAGTGCTCATGGCATGTAATCTTGGGCTAAGACACTTAACAAATATATTTGACTGCTACTTGTGAAATGTGTGTGTTTTACACAGTCCTTGAATTTCATTAGCCTGTGACACATTTAATGTTGTGGTCTGATTTCAAATGTAAATTAGTATTACCATAGTTGCCTAATGGTAAATCTTGAAACTGTTTACATCTATATTCATCTTAAGAGTATTATGATTAGTCATGTTGAATGACTTGACTGTAAAACAGATTTTGTTATTCCTCTACAAATGTCAAACATTTTAATGGAATTCCAGTCTTCATATTACCTATAAGGTTCTGTGTTATGTGAGTGTAGATATTATTGTGTAATTTATGAAATGGCCTGCAGGGGTGTCCAGCCTGTAGCCTGCAGGCCTTGTGCTGCCCAGGGTGACTGTGAATGCAGCCCAGCACAAAATCATAAATTTACTTAAAACATTATGAGATGTTCTCTAATTACTTGTTGCCATGTATTTAATGTGTAGCCCAAAACAACTCTCCCTCCAGTGTGGCCCAGAGACGCCAAAAGGCTGGACACCCCTGGAGCATGTTGTGTACATTCCGAATGCTGTCTCTGATTATCCCTGCAGTAGGTGTGGGTTGCTTCAACTAACTTTAATGTGAATTCTGAATTGGAAATTGGGGAGACAGATAAATAATTTATTTGTGTGAAAATCTTATCTTTTTCCTTATTTGGTTAAAGAGACATTTATACATGTTTAACTTGATAATTCCATAGGTTTGTGTCCAAGAAAGAAGACACATTTGGTTAAGCCATTTATCCTAATTTTTAAGATACCTTTATGTTGTAATGGTTTTTTAAAAGGTCTCTCTTACATTTACACTCTCTCTGAAGCTACCATTAGATATGGGGTGGAAGGTCTCCGTCTGTACCAAATTCATTTTATTTCTAGAGCAAATGTCTCTGAGAATGACTTTTAGTAATAATATATTAATTAGGACTTTTGGGGAGATTTTTTCCCTTAAATATAAATTTGTCTTCTAAAATCAAATTAGTAAAATAACTATATGTGTGTGTTTACTGTCACTATTATTTGTTTAAGATTTTATTTATTTATTTTTTAGAGAGGGAAGGGAGGGAGAAAGAGAGAGAGAGAAACATCTATGTGTGGTTGCTGGGGGCCATGGCCTGCAACCCAGGCATGTGCCCTGACTGGGAATCGAACTGTCACTATTATTTATAAAATACCATTTTTATTGCTGACCATATAACTAGGACAAATACTTTTTATGAAAAATCAAGAGCAACAGTGGGGGGCAGGGGCATAAAGGGGGTCTAAAATGGTTAAAAAAATCGAGAACAGTGATGTGAAAATAACATTAGGTCAGTGAGATGTTATATCAGTTCTTGGATTGTAAACATTGAACTCATTTAAATAACATGGAAAATGCTATTTAATACCATGTTACTATGGTATTTAAATGCTATTTAAACACCATAATATTACAGTAATCAAGAAAATGTGGTATCAAGGCAAGGACAGACACACGGACCAATGAAACAAAATCCAGAAATAGACCCACATATATATGATCAATTGATTTTTGACAAAGGTGAAAAGGCAATTCCATGGAGAAAGGATAATCTTTTTAACAAATGGTGATGAGACAAGTGGACACCCATTTTCAAAGCAGTGAACGCAGTGACCTCAACTCGTGCCTCTCTCCATGCACAGAAATGAACTCAAACTGAATCGGCCTGCTCTTGCCACTTCTGTTCAGTATTGTAGTGGAAGTTGTGACCAGGGCTGTTAGGCCACAAAAGAAGTAGAAGGTATCTGGACTGAAAGGAAGAAGTAAAATTCTCTTCTAGAAAGAACATCCTTAAAAAACACCCACAAGAAACCAGTAGAGCTAAGAAACAGAGTGGCAGGATACAACATCCATGTACAAAAGTTAACTGCATTTCTCTACTCTAGCAATGAACAATCTGAAAATGGAAATTAAGAAGATGCTTCTGTTTATCAATTGCATCAAAAAGAATAAAATAGGAATCAATTTAACCAAGGAAGTGTAAAACTTGTATCCTGGAATTTATAACACAATATTCAAAATAATTAATATCTAAGTGGAAAGACATCCCATGTTCGTGGCTTAGAAGAGTTACTATTGTTAGGGGTACAGCATTCCCTAAACTGGTCTACAGATCCAGTGAAATCCCCATCAAAATCCCTCCGATGATTTGTGGGTAATGACAAGGTATAAGTGGAAGCAGTGAGTTTTGTGAGGTATCATGGACCATTGGGGAAGGCAACAAACCACTGATGGTCCTTAGAAAGAAAAGGAATTCAGTAGGGTTTTTTTCTGTTCTTTTTCTAACTTCAGTCCCTCTGCAAAATGATTATTTACTGTTACAGAGATGCTTCCCCATCAATATTCTTCCTTGGGAAAAGGTGACTGGACAGGGGTTATAAGAGTTTTGAAATTTAGAATGTAATCCTCAGTGAGTTCTGTGTATGTTTGGCCAGAATATCACTTAAATGGAAACAATGAAAGAGATCATGGATCCTGCCTTGCTTCAGGCTTCAAGTATCATAGTATTGGAGTAATGGACATTATAGGCAATATTTTAAGGACACCGGTTAAACAATAATCAGGAAAAAGAATCCTAAACCCATATTTGTAGGATTGGGGTAACCTTCATTTAAACTTGAGAGATTTTTGTTTTATCTGATTTCGTTTGTTTCATTTCATTTCATTATTGTATTTTTTAAAAAAATATACTCGTACCTTAAAAATTCCTGTGTATTTCTCGATAATACCATAAAATTATAATTAAATTTTATAATAGTTATTGGTATGATCATTTAACATCTATCCGAATTGGTACCCTCTATTCCTCCATCCCCGAAGACTAAAGTCTCTCTAATCAAGTCACACTGGATGTAACCAGTGTTCTTTGTCACTCCAACCCAAGCATATAATCAGTTTCAGAATCTGTTCTGCCTTTGATACCTTCCTTCAGTGATTAGTGGAGTTAGTGCAAACCTGATGCGAAAAGGAAACTACCCTTGGTGATGTTTTTCTTTTCTTTTCTTTTCTTTTCGTAGGGAAACTAAACAGCCAAGACTCCTACAATAATTTCACCAACAACAACCCCGGCAACCCTCGGCTCTCTCCTCTCCCCAGCTTGATGGTGTTGATGCCTCTTGCACAAATCAAACAGCCAATGACATTGGGGACCATCACCAAACGAACAGGGTAAGGCCTCAGGCTTGACACTTAATAGCCATTGTAGAGGACTGGATGCATAAAAATTAAACACACTTTTTGTTTGGGTGGTTTTGATTATGTTTTTCATTTCCAGCCCATATGAGACTTAATGGCAGAAGATTAAGTACAAAGTATAAAACATGCACAGCCATGTGCATGCACATCATAGCAAAAACAAAGCAGTGACAAGTTGTGAAAATGAGTATTGGCTAATAAAAACCAGATCTGTCTACTTATTCTTATTCTTACTGCCCGTAGCTTTGTCTGGAAATACAGTTCCATTTTCCTTTTTTTTTGTTGACGTGATCTGGATTTGTAACTACTCCCAAGTTTTGACTGACACAAATGCTAAGAAGAGGACTTTAGATGACAGCCATGTTTGTAACCCTTAAAAAAAATCATCTATGTGGAGGTGTGATGTACATATAATAATCTGTTATTATTATTAGGATGATGTGACTTTATGGGTAGTTTTCAAGCCAGAGTTCTAAGATTTGCACTGTACTCAAGATTGGTTATTACCATCCTCAAAGACTTGAAGAATACTTCAATTCATATATTTGTGTGTATTTTAGCTATTGAAAAATTTTATAAATTCCTACCTGTTGGAAATATAGGACCATCGCTTCTTTTGTGTGATACTCTTGAAATTCCATTTGTACCAGAAAATACATATGTCTATAGGCGAATTAGCCATTTTAATCAATAAGCAAGCCTGAGGTTTAACCTACTTTGAAATGGAACAACTATCTTAAAACTATGTATTAAGCCAGTCAGGAGAAAACCCTGTCTTGGCTTCAAATAGTTTTCAGGGCCTTTCCAACAAAAGGAATAGATTAATTATTTGGCTGTCTTAGTATTGGTTGCTAGGTGGTAAAATGTTTGCAGAGAGCAGTTTTGTGAGAATGACTTATTCTCAGGGACCAGGCCTTTGAACTCCACATTTTACCATATTACAGAGATTGGCCCTTTCCCCAGGTTTTTGTATATAAAATGATCCTGTTGCTGAATGCAGAAATAAAATTGAGTTTGTTGCATATGAAGGAAAAGAAAAGGAGAAATACAGCAAACTTAGGTCCCAAATCAGCATTGTACACAATCTACTTAGGAGTTTTTGTCTTTAGTGAATCTTCTTGAAAGAATTGTTGTTTCTGAATTTAATTTTAGTTCTGCTTCTAGTGTTTATGATCGTTGTTTTTAAAATTTAACAGCTATGCTGTTTTATAATGGAAAGAGTTAGCTCTCTTTCAGGTGAGCTTCTCCATAGTGACTGAAGTTCTGTGATGTTAGAATTTAATCCATAATACTTGTGGGAGGGGTGGAAAGTGTGTCTTCTTTTGTATACATTTTAAATTTTCCATAATAAGAAGATAAAATCTTTCACTCTTTTTTAACTTTCTCTCTTGCTACTCTCTCTCTGCCCTTAGATAGGTAGAAACGGAATCAGGTGTTTTCTTATGCTACCATACTTTATGAACTTAGATCAATTGTGTTTCCTTTTAATTTTTCAATTACAGTTGACATTCAATATTATATTAGTTTCAGGTGTACAGCATAGTGGTAACTTATGAACTGATCATCTGGATAAGTCTAGCATCCTTTTCTTTTTAAAAGCTTGGTCACAATGCCTAGATTTTTTAGAGCATGTATATTAGACTCTCTTATATTAAAAATAATTTAATACTTATTTATCAATGAATTAAATAATATGAATTTGAATTATATGCTTTGAAATGAGTATTCAAGATACACGTGTCATATTGTTTACTTTTTATCTCAGTTATGAAGCCATTTTCTTTTTGCCAAGTTTCTTAATTCTTTTGGCATTTTCTGTATTGTTTACAGAGAATAATTAATATTTCCCCCACAATGAGTACTTAGTTTCAAGTTTCAAAACTTTTGACATAGATTCAGACTTACAGGAAAGTTTTAAGACCAGTAAAAGGAATTTCAATATACCCAGATTTCCCAAATGTTAACAGTTTAACATCTTTGCCTTAGTATTCACATTCTCTCATACATACTCACATATACACACCGTGTTTTTCCTAAATTGTTTCAGAGTAATTTGCAGACTTAGTAGTCCCTTATTTTTACCTATTTCAGTATGTCATTCCTAAAGACAAGGATATTCTCTTATATAACCATTGTACATTATCAAAACAAGAGGTTTTTTAACTCATTTTAGTTTTTTTATATAGCTGTCTGTAATGAATACTCGACTTGAGGAAGAGCTTTAATGCACAAGAATTACCCCACCTGCTATTTTCTTCCCCTCCTCCTCTTACTGTTCTCTTTCCTCCTCTCCTCCTACTATTCTTTTCCTTCCTATTAACACACATTACAGTGACCTATAAACACTTCAATCATAGTATTCATAACTTGGCTGTTGCTAGATTCCAAGCCTTAATATGCCTAAGTCACTCTCTGCTCTGTTTGATTATATTCAGAAATTGCTATTGTGACTTTCCTTGTAATTCTTTTGCTGTAGTTGTAGTTCACCCAAACATTTGATCATAGAGTTTTCAGAATATAATTTGTGGTTTTATCATTTTCATTTTAACACTTAGTGTTTACATTGAAGTACATGTTTTTCCCTTACCAAAAGTAGTATTTATTTTGCAGGCACAAAATATATTCCTTGAATTTTCATTGATGACATATGCAGAGATTTGAACAAATCCCAGACATTTTATATTATTGTATTTTATCCCCTTAGTTTTGAAAGGCTCTACTTATTTTTATTTTATAAATTATTACTGTGACCACTTCTCAAGACTGCACTTAGCTAATTTACATTGTTTCCATTAAATTTTATTATACTTACTGAGAACTTTGATTGCCACACCAAGGTAACCAGTGTGATGAGCAAATGGGCTTCTCATTTCCCGGGTCTCTTTTCATTCTGGAAATTCTAATTTACTCTTAACTTTGCTTCTGTGAAATGCCTTTCCTAGAATTTAAAAAATAAAATTAATAAGTATTTCACAGGTTATGTAGAAAGAGAACAGAGCGCACTCATTTGTAGATATGCAGGTTCTGTGACTACTTCCTACATCCCTGATAACTTACCTAGGAAAATGATGTACTCCCTTAGGTTAGGTCAGTATTTATTTGTTCTATGTCCTAGACGTTGTTATAAAGGCATAAAATAAGCACAAAACCCTACATTTCTAGCACAGCGATTTCTAAGGGTTGCCTAGAATCCTATATTTAAATAACCAAATTGAGATGGCAACCTCAACTCAAACCCTCGGGGGATAAAACGTGAATTTACCATGTTTCACATCTGCCCTTATTTTTGGAAATATATATCTCTGAATGCCTGAGCAGTGTCAGGGACCATCTGTCTTACTCTGAGACACGCACGAGGCTAGTAAAAACTACAAATGGCAAAAGACAGATGTGTTTACACCTTCACGTTCTGTACCTTGAAGCAGCACTTGGAGGAAACAAGGCCTATTTTGGCAACAGCTGCTGCCTAACCCTGCTACAGCGCAGTGTGCAGCGGTGAAGGCAGAGCAGTGCGAGGAGTCATTCCTTTCAACACTCACTCATTCAGAGAGAACCCGCTCCCATCCAGTCTGGGATCGAAGGCCTCTGTCCTGTTTTATCACATATAAAGAACAGTTCTCCTCCTCTTCTATTAAAAGTGAAACCAGGTACTAAGAGATTGGTCCTTGTTTGGGAGTGTTTAGTTTTTGTAGTAGGGATTTATTAAGCAGCATGTCATAGATATTTGGGTGAATTAATGAATCAAGTAAGTGATAACATTTTTTAAATGTTTCCTATGTAAAAGTTTCGATACACTTAATTTTATGTGCATTAAGCAAACAGTAATATATGCATATCACTTTAGGGGCACAAGCAGAGAATAGTAAATTTCAAAATGAAGTCAGACTAATGAAATATATAGAATGAAATATATAAATATATATATAAATATATGGTATGAAATATATATAGGAATGAAAAGTATAGAAATTGGGAATGAACTTACTTCCTTGCTCTTAACTAGCTGACCAAATTTAGTGAAGTAAACAGGAGATGATTTGGTGTTTTTCATAGGTTTCCTTTTCCTTAAATGGAGCAGCTTTCCCCTCCCCCATCTTTATATTTAATCATTTCTTAGTGAGCACCTTGGGGTGGGTACTAGGAACCCTGGGCCTGCCCCGGGCTGTGTGTTAGGTGATGCAGTGGGAGAAGAGTGACTCAGGGCTCTGACGCCTTGGCTTCTCATCTGGGTTCCACCACCTGTCACCAGTGTGTTGTAGGTCAGTTTATTCATCTCAAAAATAAAAATTTATAGGTGTAGAGTATAATCTTTCAGGCTCATAGTATACGAGTTCCCCCACACCTTTGTTCCCATTTACTCCCCTTGCTGTTGAGCCCTGTGCCAGTGCTGAGCAAGAGCCGCATTTAGAAAATGTAGATGATTGGTTTTATTTAGTAATGGCAGCATATTAAACGTGGTCACACACGTAAAATTACGGACAGTGTATTTCCTTTCACTGGAATGGATAATGGGTGTGTCAACATGTGCAATACACTTACTATAGTTGGAGTTTCTAATTGTTGTGCTAAATCACTCAAGTTCTTAAACCGCACTATGGTTTGTCGCGTGTTACCGTAAATCTGTGGCGGGACGGGGGCGGGCAGGGAGGGCAGATAAAGTATATTATATACTGTATTAAAAGTCATCAATAATTTCCTAGGAAATTTTCCAGTGTATTTATGCTGTTCTAGTCTCTTTTCTGCCACATCTGCCAGAATTTGAATGTTATCTACAATTTTTCTAATGAAAATCTTGAGTTTGTCATTTAAATATGCTTGTTGAATATATCTTAAATTGGACAGTTTAGCCATCCGTTTCATCTTCCATTTGTTCTACTCAATAATTTGAGAGCCAACAGTACCATAGGTATCTTTAGTAGGTAACAGTTAATATTAATGAAAAATTAAAAGTAACACTTGAAAATGACATGAGG